TTGCCGGGAAAGATAAAAAAAGTTATTTGACCCTAGCATAGCTGAAACTCCAGAATATGCCATGCCAGATACAGCATCAAACGATAATGCAATCACTGTGTAACAGAGAACTCTAAATTCGCACATTTTCCAGGTATTTCAAACCATTATTCCTCCACTTCACAACTGTGTCATGTTTTTCTTCCTGAAGATATCGAGAAGAAGCAAATGATAAGCTCAGTCCATGGCAAAAAATTACCTGTCATTCCTCATGCAATATTGCACTAAAAGTTCACAATTTTGATGGTACGGGATGAGGGAAAAACAGTAGTAGGACTGTCATGCAACTTTGGATTGCAAGTTAACCCCCCCCCTTACGATATGGTCCCCCATAGACACAAACTATTCGGTATTTCATTCTTCAAACTGGAGGTGTAATTAAATTGAACATCCTCAATTAACATTCAGATGAAATTGGAGAAATATTGACATTACCACTGCAGAATTTATTCCGGTCATTGAGGTATCCTCCACATCTGGAACGACATTTGAGGAAGCTTGAGCCATATCAGTTGTTGCCCGGTGCTCCTTCCATTCATGCCTCCCTGAAAACACGTGCGGGAATAATAATATCGTTATAAATTCCAGAATCGCATTCCAAAAGCAATGAGTCATGAACATGCCTTGGTACACCTAACAAACACTTCACACACAAACACACACACACACACACACACACACACACACACACACACATAATCACACATTTGTCACTCGGCCTAGTCAGCGGTCAGGATCGCTATATGTTTAACTTGCTCACCTCGGTTGCTTCCGAGGTCCTACGGTTTCAATAAAATCTAGATTGACTGGTGGTCGCCGCCACATTTCGCCCTTCTTCGTTAGTACATAAACAAAAAGAGAGGCCTGTCCGATCTTCTCGTGAATGCCTCGCGGCCAAAGGCCACTGGCGTTGCGAAACGTGCGCGGCGGGTCGTGATGTCGACGGTTGCGCTCGCACCTGGGCAACGACCCGAGGACATGCCCTACCAGCGGGGGATGACGATCATTTTCCACTTTTTTTCCTCTGCACTCGGGAATCCGCGGAGCGGATCTCCGACGAGTCGGGAAATTGGGAGATGGGAATTTTGCGTCACGGGAATATCAAATCGAGATAGAATTGCTTCCCCGTCTCTTCCTCTCGGACGAACCGGTTTCGCGTAGCTCGTGAATCGGTTTCCAAAACGATCGGCTAGCATTTTTTTTAATCCTTAGCGGGAAAGATTCTCGCCCGACCGATCGAGAACGGCATTTTCAAGAGCAGACGGAGTACACCTACACATATTTGTTGACGTGCTATTTTTACGCGAGCTGCCCAAGATGTTACCACTTTCCATAATTGAATAGGCAGTGCCGCTCTGTAGTCCCGTGTTTCATTCCAGAGAGTAAAGAAAGAATTCCACGCTTTTGTGAGCAAAACAA